CGCAATCTCCTTCATCGGCTGCCGCACTTCCCACACAAAAGATATTTTCAATACATAAATGTCTCTGAAGGCTAAAAACTTGCCCACTGACAAAGGAAAAGAAAACATTGGAATACACTTTAAAATCACTGCTATTACATGATACTTCAGCAAAGGTATAGTCAAACACTGTAGGGCATTTTGTTTGCTTAGTTTGATCAAGAGTGATGCTGATGATGGAATATGACTGTCTGCCTTAGCTGGAGCCAGATCGCAGCGGAGTCATCAAAACCACTAAGAATTCATGCTGTAACTATGCAAACTTCACATACTGACCTCAGAAAATCCCTCTTTTGCTATATCCTTTCTACAGACATTAATGATTTTTCCTTTTATTACTGTTCTAAGCAAAGTAAGAGTCAAAGGAGCTATTTTTTGAGAGGGATGCAGTGGCCTGCATTATGCAATCAAAACAAACCTAAAGAAATCTTATTGATTCATTGAATCTGGTTTTAGATGTAAAATTTGAACTTCCTGGTTTGACTCTTATGGAGAAATATTCTTGTCTAAGTACTCTATGGTTATAACTAGTAAAATGCAGCCACTTTGAGGATGATGGCATCTCTTACATTACGTCCTTTTAATTCATGCTGATCAGCCATATACATCGGATACGAGCTGTTAACTTAAAAAAATAAATATGGTGACTCAGAATTGCTCAGAAGCCTGGAATATGCTTTTGGAGCTTACAGGGGAAACACTATGACAAGAACAAGAGACTTTCTTTTCTGATATAGAGGGATATTAGAGCTCTTCATACAACTGGATGAGAATTATCTGCATCATGGCAGAGTGACTATAGAATTGATTTCTTCTTCCTGATCCTGATGTGCCTATTTTCATGTCTTTAGTGCTGCCCTATCCCATTTTTATATGAGAGAAAAAAGCAGTGAAAAAGACTTCTTCACTGGACCAGTTGAGCTGGTACCAACAGGTACTGGAAGCATTGTGAAAGATTATCTCAAATACAACTGTGTTTTATCTGGGACAAGGGAAAGCCAAATTCTTTCAAAGCAGGCCCATCAGTGGAATAAAGTGCTATTCAATACCAGCTTTCTCACATAGAAAATCTTATTTTTTACCCTTATCTCTTGTGACTCTAGGTGCTAAGCAGGCATACAGCCCACGAGCAGTGTTTTACAGCTGTTGTCGTAGCTGCTAGCCTAGGTAGAGAAGATGATCTGGCTGTGCAGTCCTTGGTCTGGATAGTTCTGGGCTACCAAGCCCCTATGGATTTGGACAACTCTTACTAAGACTGGGGATAGCTTCACTACCAGTCAACCCCAAGGGGTGAGAATGATAGAAAGCTGTGAGACAGACCATGGCTGCGTAGCAGAGGTGAGCTTGTAGAAGTTATTAAATAATCTGGAGAATCAACAGTAGCTCTGCCAAAGTGGCTGTGCAGGCTGATAACTGCAGAAGAGAGCGAACTCGATGCTCCCTTTGCAGTGCTTGGGGAGAGCTGAAAGTCCCTGAAGATGGTTCAAGTTATTCAATGAGATGAGCAGGGATTTGTCTGAAGTCACAGTGTTGAGTGTGTGCCATCAGCAGATGTTAAATATAAAAGTGTTTCTAAAGTCCCAGCCTTTGGTCAGCTTACTCAGGCTAAAGTAAAGTATTTGCCTTATCTGGAGAGACACAGCTGTGACCCTGAAAATAAATACTGTTCTTTCTTCCACAGTAGCAAACAGGATTTAAATGCCCCCCAGGAGTGCAGTTGCATCTTCAGACTCTGTTTCCACCTCTCAGGAAACTGCTTCTTTCACCATCCTGTGCTCTCATGGGAGAGGAGAGGCTCTCCATCCCTCCTGATGAATGTGCCAATATATATAAAAGTTCAGACTCATTGGGTGAAAGAATACGTGTACAAAAGTAAGCAGGAGTGTAGCCTCCAGGATGGGCACTTAACATAGGCTGGGAACTTGAAGTCCAGCTTCTGCTCCAAGGTCAACTTTTAAATTTCACAGTAAAAGCCCATGAGGCCAGCCCAACATGCAGGGTTTCCAGTAATACTGCTACACAACTAATAAAAAAAAATGTGGGACCTATGGATTTACGCATAAGGGAGTAAGCAGCAAGTTGAATGGGAGTTTTCAGGATTATTTTGAACCTATTTCTACCTAAGTTTCACCAAATGCATCCAAGTGCTTATCCTTTCCTAGGTTCAATTTGCAGTGAGACATGCGGCACTTGGATGTGAACTAATGCTGAAATACTGTCTATAATGAGCTGGGATTCAGATCCAGCATGCAGCAATCTGAAAATGGATATCCTGAGTTTCTCACAGTCCCAAGATTGTTTTGCTAAATAAAAACAGCTTCAAACATTTTTTCCTTTTAATCAACAGCCCAGACATGTACTAATAAAATCATATGAACAATAAATTTTCATTTTGGAGTATTCAGACGGGGAAATAAACACTGTTGTAATGAAATCTACCAACCACCAAAAGCCAGACTCTTCTACACTGCTCTTCTCTGCACTGGTGGAAATCTGCAGTTACTTCCCTGACCTTAGAGGCAGAATTAACACTTGCAGTGGAGTAACTCGAAGCAGAATCCAAGCTTTGTTATTAGGCACTCCAACTGTATAAGCAAACACAGTATGCAGCTGCTGTGATTTTTCTTTTTTAAAGCCAGCTTGCATTTAATTTGCAAATACAGTCAAGGCTAATTTACCTCTCATTTTATCCTCGGATTTTTAAAAATATGGGATAACAAATGGTAATTCAAGTAATGGTAAAATCTCAAATATAGAGCTCAAAAGGAGAAATACTCACATGAAATAGTTTATGTTAGCCTTTAAATGAGATTGCTCCTCAGATTGTCTCCTGTGTCCTACATTCAAATGGCATTTACAGATTTTCACTATGAGTAAGAAAAAGAGAGGAGAAATAAAGTGTCCAAAAGGCAGCACAACTGCATTTCTTTTCTAACATGTTGTATCACAAAATGGCATCTGTTTTACTTGCACAGTAAAAGCCTGCATTTTACTGAGACAATAAAACAGAAAAATAAAATCATAGCAAATGGAAAACCATGTATGGGTTGTTTACTTTTTGTTCTTTGATTTTCTTTTATTTTTTTTTTTAATATCTTCTGAAAAGAACTGCAAGTCATTTACCAGCTTTTCCATGGTGTCGCTGTTAATCTTCAAACTTCCATGGAATGAGGATTTTGCTTCTATTTTTGAGAAAAGATGATCCTCAAATAATATGAAGCATGCCCAGGAGATGCTGTTCTGTTCCTGAGTGTGTGAGGTGGCTTCCACAGACACATAGTCCATAGTCCTTAGTGCAGCACTTGTGTCAGTGGCTAGAGGCTTTTTGAACAGGTTCGCAATGCCCTCTCAGATCTCTTTGGTTCCTGACAGGTCTATTCTGTTGCTGCTTTGTCCCTACTTTAAAATTTCATGTTATGTTTCTCTATGCAATTTCTTCAGCAATTATCTTTCCCCTTTCTTTTCCCTCAACAAGAAACTAACTCTCCTTAATCTCAGAGAGCTGGAGAATGGCACTAGAGGAGGAAAAATTCCTTCTCCTCTTCCCTCATTGCAGTGTTCAACCTGGCAACTAACAAGCATAATTTCATAGAGTAATATAGATTTGAAAGGACATCCAAAGGTCATCTGGTCCAAAACCCAACTCAAAGCAGGGCTTAGATCACATTGCTCAGTGTCTTGTCTAGTTGTGTTTTTAATATCTACACGCATGGAGATCCCACAGCCTCTCTGGGTAATGCACAAGTATGGTATTTGTCTACCCTTCTGATGTAAAACATTATCTTTACCCTTTATACTGAATATCCATCTCCCCAGATCTTTCCAGCCTGTAAAGTTCCCAATATTATGTTAGGCTGCAATTAATATTGGTTTAGGATAATATTGATTGTAATTAACTAATTATAAAAGTATGCAATAAAAGGGAAGGAATGGACTCAGTGATCCAAGATATTCCCTTCAGTCCTGTATATGGGTAGGATTTAGATTTTAGAAATAGGGATTTAGAGGTTCATAAATACGGATCTGCAGGTGAACTAGGTGTCTAAACTCCAGTTACAGTCAGTGGGGATCTAGGATGGGATTCAGTTGCCCCTATGTAAGCTTTTAACATCATTTGAAATGTCCTCAAGTATCCTGCCCCAGCAGGGAACCTGTCTCCCATAGATGATATGCCACCTCTGGCAGGCCCACATTGGTGTTTCTCGTACCCCAGAGGATCTGAAATTACACCAGACACCTATAGGCAATGAAACTATAGAAATAGTTCATACACATCGTTGACTGAACTACAGAAATAGGATGCTGCATAAATGGCCAATGACCCATAGGTAAATGATTACCATTCGAAGGCTTGTGGTACAACGATGAATATAGTGTGAACCTCTTCCTTATCATTTCCCCACTTTTGGCAGCAGCGTGCTTAAACATTCAAACAAAAAGAGAAGATGCAGCGAACTTTCAGCTTTATGCAGCACACCAGTTTTACCAACTCCTTTTTTTCAATAACAAGGTCACAAGTACAAACCATCCAAAGGGCACATTTGACAAGTCACTTTTCTTCCTTGTACACGTACATGTGAAAGGAAAATTACCTAATAATTTCAGTTTTTATCCCTCAGGATGACTTCACAGTACATATTTTTCCACATTTCTATTGTGCCATTAATCTTTACCCTGTGCCTTCTGCATAAACTTCTTTTTTCCTCCCACAAAGGCTGCCAGGGTCCTGCCCTCCAAGGGGTCAAAGGTTGCAGAGGAATCCACAGAAACAGGAAACCAGGCTTCCTCAGTCAGTTTTGAAACACCAAAACCTGTTTCCTTTCTACAAAAATAAAGCCTGTCGGGGCATCCTCTGGGTAGGCTCACTGTACAAGCAGCAGGTCAGGAGGAGGGAGAAGCTACAGGATTTCTTGCTTGAGAAATAAATGTGAGATAACTTGCAGCATTTACAAACCAGCAGAATGAAGGAGATAATATTCTTGCTGGTCCTATTGCACTTACAGAGTGGCAGCACTGGATTTAATACTCCAGGAAAGTTCTGGACCACAGGCCAGGGTGGTGAAACCCAGACCAGTCACTCAGACTTGACTCCATCTCCGACCACAATTGTGGGGTCACCCCATTCTGAGATCCAAGCTGCCGAAGTGAGTGCCTCACAGGGACCTCCTTTTGCATCTTCAGGCAAGACTCTGGGAATGAAAGCAGTGAAGAAAACATCCAAACCTACAACTTCTACCCCTGCAAGCCAGTCAAATGGACACAGCGATGGTGACCCTGACAAAGATAAGAAGAGAAGCTCATCGAGCAGCACAGGCACATCTCTGCAGAACGATGCTAGAGAGGTCCCTTTCCAGCAAGAGGTCACTACTAGCCAGGATACAGCTACAGGGAACAGATCTCTCAAACCGTCATCCCACAGCCCTGGTATCACCAGCACCCAGCAGGGTGCCAACTCCAAAGCATCCAGCTTTGAAACTACCAGGGGAAAGTAAGGAAATTTACATATTATTTCTTGTCTTGTATGTACTGTTTAGGAATGGTCATTTTTCTCTTCCCAGCAAAATAATTGGCAAAAGTTCTAGTAATTTCAGTAAACTTGTTTTCTGAGCTTAAAGAAGACCATCTAAAGCAAGCAAGGGGCCAAACCTGCAGTATTTACTCACTCAAAACCATACATTTGTAAGAGTAAATGCTGCAATATTTTATTCCTCAGGGTAGTTATCTCAAAACCAACAGGAAAGTCATTATCACATATGGGTAGGAAAGGACTACAATAGATGGGCTTTTTCTTTCTTTTCTTGTGGGTAAAAGAAATTGCAAATGTACTTTTTCATTTGGAATCTATTAAAAATGATTGTGTTTGTAAACCTCTACTAAATAGAAAATACAAGCAATTAAGTGTACAAAATGCATCCATGTGACAATTTTAAACACCTTATTCTGTGATAAAAACTTACGGAAAGTGGCGTTGTAGGTGAATGTGCATTCAGAACTGTATAATTTAATACATAATAGCTACGCATAACAGAGTATATCAGATTGTACTGTCTAGTTTTATAGCTCTGGAACACTCAATTATTTTCTTTGTTCCCCACTGTCTTCAATTCTCAATGGGGATGTTAATACTGACTTTGGAGATGTTGCAAGGTTCACTTACTTGCTGATATATACTCAGATACTGGTAGAAAATGGAAGACACACTGGATCGGTTGTTCTCCATAGTATTTATGGAGAGTGGGCTTTCAGAATATAGATTTACTCTTTTGATAGTACTTGCCCAAATGTTAGCTTCCAAAAGGAGGAAAAACTCTTTCTCTTAAATTTGCACAACAGAGAATAAATCAAGCCTTAGAAATACTCCTACAATTATTTTGCTCTGTGTGGTTGTGAGCTTCAGCTCAAAGAAAAGATTCCTCTTGACCTAAGCATCTTTTGGATCATGCATAAGTGAAATGATGCACAGAGACCCAAAGGAAATGAGTCCTTTGCTTCAGCCTGCAAGCAATACCGCAGTAAGGAGCTGTGTTATCCAGATAGCTTTCCTAGCATACTCCTTCAGTTGTGTATGTCATCTGTTACAGCACCTCTCTGCGGTGTTTGGCGGAGTGTCTGAGTTAAATGGGTTCTCTTTATACTTGAAAGCCGATAACTGCATCGCCATTAAAATAGGTCTTAACATATGCTAACCTTAGAGTCTTCAGCTTTCTCAGCTTTTGTCAAGAATAGTATTCTGGTGAAAATAATCTTCAGAAAAACTCTGAATTGGCAGGTGTTGTTTCTACCTTCTACATAAGATATAAATACAAAAAGCAAAAAAAATTAGTCTCTGGTCAACAAGGTCTCATATTTTATTTATCACAATGAGATGTGGTTGCAACTGCAGAGAGACAAAATAAGCAAATCTTGTATTGGCTAGCACCTTATTTCATGCGAGGTCGAGGAGCAACTTGCTGTGCAACATGCACAAAGGTCTTTTTTTGTGTTGTTGTCCGTTGAGCAAGTTAGAGATAAAGCTAGGATTGCATAGCAAAGTTAGAGGAATGTGTAGCCGCATGAAACCCCAGCATAAACCAGAATGCTGAATCCACACGCTCTTTCTCAAACTGCTGGGCTACATAGCCTTTCTCTAGCAACAGTGTGCAGTTCTAGGTCTAGCTTGATCCTTTTCACATGAAGATTCTTGTGTTACAAGCCTGGTCTTCCTACCACATACCACCATTTTTACAATCAGCTAATATGTTAGCACAATGGGTTGCCATAAAGGATTAGAGAGTTCTGCAGTTCCTACAAGGTCACTCAAAAATTCAGGTTGGAATACAGACTATAACCAAATGATTTGAGTTTTCCTTCCAGTTGCGTTACTGACCGGGAGCGTGACTTAAGTAAGTCACCTCATTATTGTCTACCTTTCCCTATGAAGTAGATGTGGATGAATAACAAAGTTGCTTGTGACTCATTTTTTTTCAGTAACGTCATGAAAAAATGCCAAGTGTAATGTGCTCAATGTTACCGATCACTGCTGTGAAACACCTGGAAAGTTACTGCTGAGAAACTCTGCATAAGAATACAAGCATTTGTGTTTATTATGTGCCGGTGTTATCGACTAGACCCTAAATCCATTTCTGGCATATATTTTCTTTCAAAAAAACCTCAAACTTTTTGCGTCTTTACTGCAGATAAAGTGAAAGAGATGCAGCAAAACTTCCAATAAAGACATACAGCTTACTTCAAGGTTTACTTGTTTAATGCCTGAGCACAGCATGAATGACTCAATAGCAGATTTCATAGTTGTAAAGTCTACTACCTCTGAGGAAATTTGGAAGAACAATTTGCTTTTCAAATTTAGTTTGAATTAAAGAAACTCTTTGGTTATAGTCTGTATTCCAACCTGAATTTTTGAGTGACCTTGTAGGAACTGCAGAACTCTCTAATCCTTTATGGCAACCCGTTGTGCTAACATATGTGCAGAAACACTGATGTTAAGAGGCTCCATAGAGAAGGAACAATAGAGAGAGAGGTCAGGGAGAGACAAGAGGAAGGAAAACACAACCAGAATGAGCATTTGTTTTTTAATATATTTATAACAAAAAAAAAAAAGCAATACATACACTTTGTTGGAGAGTCTCCAGGGCTGTCAGATTACCCACAAGGTACTATACGCGCCCATTGTAGAAGCTTAATTACCCAAATACCCCCTTCTGAAGGAAGTCGTTTGCCTTAGTGGCTTAATTACAAAGATAATTCCCTCACTATCTCTACCCTGGACTATCTGAGGACAATACTATGTACACATATCACGTGCATATTGGAACTAGAATAGAAAAAAGTTCTTCTGCTTCATTGTATTTTTGTAAAATTCCCATTGAAATGTCGGAAGAGCATGATTTGGAAATATTTCACAGATTTTCAAAGTCTGCACCTGAAGAATATTTGTGACAACCACCAAGTGTGGCAGGCAGTTAGCATCACCCCAGAGCCCAAATCACCACGCGCAGCCTTGGTGATGCTGCAGTGCCACGATCAACCTGGGAAGGCAAACCAGTGAGTCAGGATCAAGGTTGGTGAAGGTGACCAGGTTAAGACACAGACCAGCGATGCCACAAGATCAGGCCAGGATGTCAGCTTGCAGGTCAGAGTTGGCACAGGTGCAATGTAGTCCTGGGGTGAACTTCAGTGGGGCTCCTGAGCCCACAGGCAGGGTGTATGGGTGGAGACCCCAGGTCAGGCTAGTCAGGGTGAATAAGACCCACAAGTGTCATCAGGGTCCTGACAAGTTTTCGTTTCATTTTATTGAAAGAAATGAACTATTAGACCTGTCAGGATAAATTCATATTTTTTTTCCCACTGAAACAGAACCATATTTGCTAAAGACCATGATTTTATTTTAGAAACTCATCTCTGATTGGCTTTTCAGGTTCCAGCAGAATTTCTGGGGGCAGAGATGTACTGCAACAGGTAGTCACCTGATGAGGAGGAGTACAGTCAGTAGAGCTAAAGGCTCCAAATTCAAGATTCTGCTGTTAATAAGACAAAGCTTGGCTTTGAGCTTGTCTATATCACATCCCAATGTGGTGTTTTAAGTGCTAAATATTGGTCATCTCTAAAAACCCTAAAATGTTCCTTATTCTTCATTGGAATGAAAATGCAGTGCAATCCCATTCTTTTGCAGTGAAGTGGAACAATTTTATAGATAAACTTAGAATATGTACAGGAGGACATAATTTATAGATTCTGTAGCTACCTGCTTTCAAACCATTTCAGAAGAGTGGTTTCTCTGGTGAGGTATCCCCCATTTTGGGAGGGCCTGCACCCAAGCTTTCAGAAGGATAAGGAAACTTCATAGGAACATATCTGGAATGGCCTGGGCTGAAGGAAAATTCCTTTCTTCACTCCTAACAATGAATTTGACTTAAGCTTTAAAACATAAGGCTTATGTCTCTACAAACAAAAATACATCTTTTGTTTATTTCAACCTATCTCCAAATTTTCATGCTAGCCATATTAATTCATAAAGAAATGCCAAAACTAGAGCTGTGTTGCAGCAGCAGCAAGAGTTTTTCCAAAGTTCAGTGACATTAAATGTGAGCACCAATTTGGTATCAAAGAAGAAAATTGATGATACATTCTTTTCAATTGAGTTCATGTGAGATACATCTTTTTTAGCCCGTGGAGAGAGAGAATTGCAGTATTTCACAGTGTAAAGCAGCTTAAATAACTGGTGCTACGGAGGAAGTCTGAGACTAGCACACTCACCCTTCCATTCTGAACCCAGTTTTATTAATTCGAGGCAGCTCCTGAACATGAGACATTCATTCAGGTTGTAAATTAACCACAATATCTCCACATTTTTGGATGGCTCTCCATCACTTTTTCTCTTGGTATATGTATATTACACATTTTCCAATTATCATGAATCCACTGAGGGTCTTCATAGACTTCCCCTGCCATTACCTTGGGTAGTGATGAGGTGACAGTATTTGATTGCTAAGCACAGAGGGGTTTAATAAAGTCAGCACCAGGGATAGATTTGCTTATCTGTCCCATGTGGTAGGAATGCTGAAATATTTCATTCTCATGACCAGACGTCTGCATTTCTCCCCGGAAATTGCTTTTGCCTGTATCTGCTTGGTAGAATTTCTAGTGTACTGACAAATTAAAATGAATGGTTAAGCTCAGCAGATGGTTCAAATGCCCAAGAAACATAGAAACCTGATTTAACTGCTTAGTTAATGCAAGGTTCAGTCTCTTTTGATCATGTCACTTTTTAGTGGAGCAGGAAGAACAATTCTTGAATTGATTTCTTAAGGCTTTGCATCACTGTGCATTTACAATAAATAAAGTCATGCACGGCTTAGGTTTCTGCCTCACTAGGTATATTCACTATGACCTGGAAGGAAAAACCTCTTGCACTGGTACTTAGGTTGCCTTTCTCACTAAGTGTCAGAGGATATTTGACAAGCTGTGCTTGCTTTGCCCTCACAATGTTGT